GGTTGCTGTGAGCTAGGCTGACGCCACAGCACTCACTCTACCCCGGGCAAAAGAGTGAGACTCTGTCTCAAAAAAAAAAAAAAAAAAAGTGAACCTGGTTGGGTGGCTGACACCTATAATCCCAGCACTCTGGGAGGCCAGCACCAATATTGCCTTTGTGTTGCTTAATTTTCTTGCTGAATAAGTTTTCAAATACTGTAAGTCATTTGCCCTGTGTGGTTCCCTTGGAAGGTTTTTAAAATGGTTTCTTGAAATAGTTGTACTCTAAGTATTATTCTTAGGTGGCACCTTTTATTACCCATTTTCTTCAAAGGAGATTTGAGTAAATATTGTAACAACAGCTTTATTTTTATTGATTCTATGACCTTTTTATTAAAACAACCACTTCACCGTAAAGCAAATCCATGTCTGGACTTCTAAATATTTACAAGGCACCTTCTTTAATTAGATCTTCAGAAATTTTGGGCCCTTGATGGAGCTCTTGCATTAAGGTACCATCGAGCTGTCTACGAGTAATATGAATTGCTGCTTGCATAGTGTCCCTCCAGCATGTAGTGGAATTGAATCATACTCCTTCCAAAGGCAGATACTCTAATTTAGTTCTGTAGCCTTTTCTATGTACTGCTAAACCATAACAACCCCCGAGGTGCCTGCTGAACTAAAAATCACACATTTGTTTGTAGAATCCTGAGTTTCTGCTAGCATTTTTGTCATTTCAATTCTGAAATTATCTATGAATGGATTGTAACTGAAGTTAAAACATTTATTATCACGTTATTTCTGGAATTATAAGCCTGAAAATTTTCACTGGGCAGGATTGGGCAGTAAGCACTAGCTTTAAAAAATGTTTTGGAGCATTCTGACATGGTATCATAGCACATGCCAGGCTATTTTATAGGCTTTTTTAAGAAGCAACATGAAGGCATTTTATTTATATTACACAGTAGATGCTCAATAAGTGTATGTGTTCAAACAAATAGATATGTGTGTGTTGAAAAAAATGGATAAAATCTTCACAATTTAGTTAACTGTACCATGTACGTGCTTTCATGTTATGTTTTTATGTTACATAGTAATACTTTTGCACTAAAGTAGAATAGTCTAACATGTTGACCTCAGATAATTGATATCTAGATGTTATTCCAAATTCTAGCTTCTATGTCCAGCTTTGTCATTTTATTCAGTATAGAGGGGAGTTTTTTATTTTTTTATTTTTATTATTTTTTTTGAGACAGAGTCTCACTGTGTTGCCCAGGCTAGAGTGCTGTGGCATCATCCTAGCTCACAGCAACCTCAAACTCCTGGGCTCAAGCGATCCTCCTGCCTCAGCCTCCCGAGTAGCTGGGACTACAGGCATGCGCCACCATGCCCGGCTAATTTTTTCTATATATTTTTAGTTGTCCAATTAATTTCTTTCTATTTTTTTTAGTAGAGACGAGGTCTTGCTCTTGCTCAGGCTGGTTTCGAACTCCTGAGCTCAAACAAACCGCCCGCCTCGGCCTCCCAGAGAGCTACGATGACAGGCGTGAGCCACCGCGCTCGGCCGAGGGGAGTTTTTTAGATGAGGAGAGGGGCAAACTGGATGATCAGGGCTTCTAAAGTAATCTCCAACTTCTAAAGCTTTCCCCAGAAGTTTAGAATTGGTTGAAACCATGCACCCAGTATTTCCTGGAGTTCTCTGAAAAGAGTGGCTGTGGTTTATAACTCTATTATCAGAAGTCTCTTGACACTCAGTAAGTAGGTCCCCACTAAATACTGAATGAAAGACTTGGTTGTGCTTGTGATTTATCCCCGGGAACGTCTCTGCTATCATTATATCGGTAAACTTAGGTGATTCTTGCCCAGTTTTACTGTGTGTGCTGGAGGAAAACAAGTGGTAACGTGGCAGGTGCTGTCCATAAACTGTCTCTAAATACTCTAGTGACTTTGCCCTGTATTGTCTGCCTGTATAGCAGGTGAGAATACTGAGGCTCAGTGAGGAAAAGTTATTTGAACACAGCTAGGAAAAGGCAGAGGTAGACCCCAGCTGAGAAAGAGGAATCATACTCTCAGTGCGTAGATTACTGACAGGTTATTTATTACTGAACTGTTTCGCACATCACTTTCTCAGGATGCTGTGTAGGTAGTCTGATTACCAAGGAATCATAGGGATCGGTTTTAACATTTGCCGTGCATGGACACTGTTCTTTCAGCAGATGTTCAAGTTGTATGCACAATAATACCGTGGTGTACATTGGGGATACAGCTGTGTGAGCAAGACACACTCGATCCATGCCCTCAGGGACCTTTGGTCTAGTGATCCAGTTTAGTAGTTGGCAGATCCTTCTTCTGTGAGGGGCTGGATAGTAAATATTTTAGGCTGTGCAGGCCATATATGGTCTCAGTCACAATTATTCAGCTCTGCCACTGTGACCCAAAAGTAGCCAGAGACACTGTGTGAATAAATGAGTGTGGCTGTGCCCCACTAAAACTTCATTTACAGAAATAGGCGGTGGACGGGATTTGGCCAACTCCTGGTCTGGTTCGTTTGTTTCTCGGTCTCTGTCTCGCTCGTACATCCACAGCAGCAGTTTTCAAAAAGAGTTCCATTGATGTATTCGTTACGGTTAGGGAAGGTGAGATGGTAGAGCTGGATCTTGTGCCGTTGACAAAAGCTAACTCTTTTCTTCTTTCTTTACCCTTTTGTTCAGGACATTTTATTTCCTTACATCAAGGAAAATGTTAAAGAGTATCTGCAGACGCACTGGGAAGAAGAGGAGTGCCAGCAGGATGTCAGTCTTTTGAGGAAACAGGTTGGGATGTTTCTGTTTCACATTCCCAAGCGTCTCGGAATCGAGGGTGCCTGGACACGTGGGATGTCCTCTGAGCGAGGTGTGAAATGAGGCCCCGGTTCACAGGGAGTAGAAGTTGCAGGGACTTGCCTTCTCAGGAATTCGCAGCACGTAATTAAAGAACAGATCGTGGAGTCTGTTGTCTCTAGAATGGCCTCTTTCTAGAGCTATTTAAATTGCATAAAAATATCATATTTATAAAACAGCTTTTTCGAGGTGGAACCCAAAGGTTTTGTGCAGTCTGCATTTTTTCATTACTGTCTCCAAGTGACAGCACCTCGTTTTCCACTCTCTACTGCCTGCCACCCCTCTTCAGTGCTCCTCGGTCCCCACGTCCACACTGTCCCCTCAGACTTGTCACCCCTGCACACCCCGGCCCAGCCTTCCCATTCACCCGGGTCTCATGTGCTTTGTGCTCCTCTTTTCCCTGCCAGTCTTCAGCCTGCCTGTTCCTTCATTGTGTGCTGTGGAACTCCTGCTCCTATTTTTGTTAAATTACTTCAGTGGCAAAGATCTGAGGTGGTTTGTGGAGCTAACTCACTGGCAGTTATTTTTGGTTTTTTTTTTTTTGGAGATGGAGTCTTGCTCTGTCGCCCTGGGTAGAGTGAATGCAGCAGTGTCATCTTAGCTCACTGCAACCTTAAACTCCTGGGCTCAAGCGATCCTCCTGCCTCAGCCTCCCAGGTAGTTGGGACTATGGGAATGCACCACCATGCCCGGACTAATTTTTCTATTTTTTGTAAAGACAGGGTCTGGTTCTTGCTCAGGCTGGTCTCGAACTCCTTACCTCAAGTGATCCTCCCACCTTGGCCTCCCCGAGTGCTAGGATTGCAGGCGTGAGCCACCGCGCCCAGCCCTCCCTTACCTTTGTGTTGTTGTTCTTGCCATCCTTGTTGGATCATACGTATTCCCCCATTATAGTATATAACTATATATCTCTCTCTCTTTAGAGATTGGATTGCAGTGTTACAAAGTCAGTGTTCTAAATGGCTGCTAGGATTTTTGCAAGATGTGGGCAAGCGTAGGAGACTGAATGTGAACCAACCCCGTTATTTCCCTAGCTGCTTTGCATTGAATTCCAGGCATAAATGAATTTATGAGATTTTCTTTGTTTCTTCTTCAGTTAGTTATAGTGAAGAGAAAAATGATCAAATTTAATTGAAGTCCTGGTTTGGTGACCCTAGTAAGTGAATCGACAAACCCTTATTCTACCATTATGTGCTCTGCTTTTTCATGTACAGCATGCCTCTCGGTTCAGATTTCAGCTCTGGCAATCTAGGAAAGGTAATGTGAATTTATTAATCCAGTTTCTTTCAGGAATCATTTGTATCAGCTCCAAGGTGTGCGATATTTTAATTTGTAGCAGTGCTAAGGTTAATGATAGTTGGAAGAAGTTGTTCTGCTTGGTTTTTGGGTCTCATTTTAAATGATCTTTTTTTGAGTAAGTGGAAAAACAAACTTCATGTTGTTTCTGACTTAAAGGCTGAAGAGGATGCCCACCTGGACGGGGCTGTCCCCATCCCCGAAGCGACTGGGGACGGAGCGGAGGACCTGCAGCAGATGATTCAGGCCGTGGTCGATAACGTGTGCTGGCAGATGTCTCTGGACCGAAAGACCACTGCCCTCAAACAGCTGCAGGGCCACATGTGGAGGGCGGCGTTCACAGCTGGGCGCATGAAAGCAGAGTATGTGCTCAAGTCAGTCTAAACGTTTCACCAGCCCCAAATCCGAATATGTTTTTCTAGTCCTCTCTTTCCAGTGTGAGTAGAATGATTGGTAAAATAGATTAAATCAACATTCTTTTTATTCTAACAAGTGAGTTGTTTTATTTTTTCAAAGCTGAGCTGAAGCATTTCACCCCGCTAAATTCTGTAGACCCGCATGTCTGGCTTTGTGGGATAGTTGAAAGACTTTTAGTCCCGGTTTAAGACTGCTTCCTGTAGCACTTCCTTGAACTAAGTCATGTTTGATCCTTAGCAGGCTGGTGACAGCAGTGTTAGGCTGCTTCCCAGGACTGTCAGGTACCTGCTTTTTGCTCCATTAGAGAGTGAGGGTGCTATGAGACATGTCCTGTCATTTTGGGTTTACTCGGACAATGTCAGCACTGCCGCTTTTTTCTGTGCTCTTTCGAACAACTTCCATAAATACTTCAGTCTTGGTTGTGGAGTTCCTGATAGCACTCCTGCTTAAGGAGACTCATGAGTATAGTATTGCTTAGAAATTTTTTTTTTTTTTTTGAGACAGTCTTGCTCTGTTGTCCTGGGTAGGGTACAGTGGCATCATGTAGCTCACTGCAACCTCAAACTCCTGGTTGCTCAAGTGGTCCTCCTGTGTGCCTCCTGAGTAGCTGGGACTACAGGCGCACGCCACCACGCCTGGATAATTTTTCTATTTTTAGTAGAGAGGGAGTGTCGCTCTTGCTCAGGCTGGTCTCAAACTCCTGAGCTCAAGTGACCCTCCCGCCTTGGCCTCCCAGGGTGCTAGGATTACATGCGTGACCCACTGCACCCAAGTGAGAAATTCTTAATAAGACTCTGCTGCTAAGGATTTTAGTCTGTTGCCTGACGTAAACCCTAAAATCCAAGATCGTTTCCCACTGCCCATATTTATTTCTTTTGTATTTCTGTCAAACAGATGTCATTCTTTTATTTATGTACTTTACAAGGAGCTTCTACCTTTTAAATTTCGGGATATGCCAATTATCTGGGAATATCAGCCAGTTCATATAGTAAAAGACTGAAAAAAGTGGAGCCAGGAGACTGTGGTCCTAGCCCTTTTCTTTGTCTTGGTTCCTTAATTATAAAACCAGGGCTTGGCGTAAAGGACCATAAACTGCTAAAGCATTGCTTTGGAGCAGTAACAGTCTGTGCAAATTTAACGTGAAAAAATTCTGTTTCCATGTGCACTGCAAAGTAATACACTTACAATTATGTGCCCTGGTTTTTAACATGTTGATCTCTTGCCTTCAATTAGTGCTGCATATTAAGCATATTAATACATATTCAATAGAAGGCTTCTCTGACATTTTCTAGTTAAGGTTTTAAAGATGGCTGCTTCCATAACCCAAGTTCCTGTTTTCACCCTCTATGATGTCATTTCCAACATGAATATGGAATATACTGTGAAATTGGTAAAAGACAGTGTAAGGAGTCAGAAAATCAGATACTGTTTGCAGATTGACCCTGTGAGATGGTACACGTCTCTTAACTGATCAGTTTATGTAATTTTTTTCCTATATAGTAGAACTTTAGGTTTTCTTAGTTCTTAAATGTAATTCTGTTTTCTAGCTAATCAAGGGTTTATAGCTTGGAATTCCCAAACGTTTTTTAAAAAAGTCATTTTGGGTGCAGATCTTTCTAAAAGCATTTTTATGCCTTCTCAAAGCATACTGGATGTAATTTAACCTTTTCTTGTTATTTACATCAGAGATCATATAATAGTATAGCATTATTGCTGTTTGCTCTTTTGAGTTACTTGGTAATTTAAAAAATCACTTTCTTGTGTCATCCCTTTATCTGTAATCCTCTTTTGCTGTCATTAGTGTCGCTATCTATGAAAATACTTTTAGAGGAAGGAGAGAGTAGTTTTTCTACTTTCCACCTAAAGCGTTGCTTCTCATCTGCTGTGATGTTGGAACTCTGGCAACACATTGATTAGCTTATTAGAACTACACGAGTTCACAGTCATGGAGTTGCTTCTCAGGTTACCATTTGGGTACAAATAGAGAAATGCGTGGTGTTATTTTGACTGGTTTTCATCTGGCTAGATGATGTTTCTGCATTTTAACTTGGTGGTTTTCCCCCTAGGTTCTTTGCAGATGTAGTTCCAGCAGTCAGGAAGTGGAGAGCGGCTGGAATGAAAGTGTATATCTATTCTTCAGGGAGTGTAGAGGCACAGAAACTGTTATTTGGGCATTCTACAGAGGGAGATATTCTTGAGGTAGGTTACTCGGTTTACTTTGTTTTTTGACATTGTCAAAACATGCAATAATACTTACAGGAATGTACTATAGTTATAAGCTAAATCAGCATTTAGATTAATTGTGCATTTAGATTCATATGTGCTAAGCAGGTTGTAAAGAGAAGTGGAAAAACTGGGGGTACATTATAGGGAAGGATGAAATGTCTGTGTTATCCGTTTTTGGATCAGAGGTTCTTAAACTTTGTTGTATATAAGGATCACCTGGGTAGTTTGTTAAAAATGTGGATCACTGGGCTCTGCTTTCTAGCAAATCTGAGTTGGCAGGTCTGGGGTGGGGTCAAGAATCTGTATTTAAACATCTAATAAAAAGTGATTTTGATGAGGATAGTACTAGAGTCATCTATTACATGTATGCACATACATGCTAGCATGTAAATCAACTGTCTCGCCAATATTAGAAAATCAGCAACCCAAAGGAAACTAATGGAATGCTTTTTTTGGTTGTTTAAAATTAGGTAAGAAGAAAAGGATCACTTTTAATTGTATTGCATTTATAATTTTTTCTATATGAGATTGTTAAATGAAGTTTATTCTGTGTCTTGAAAAATCAAATCAGGTAAGATGCAGAATAGTCCTAAGAAATATAGAGACTTCTTGAATGAAGCAGAGCACAAGGTGGACTCATTTGTTTATGGCTCTTTGGATAGGGACAGATTTTATTTCAGAAGAAACTGCGTTATTATATGAGAGAAGTGGGCACAGGATTAAACACAGCGATGAGTTAGGTCATTTACACATTTCTTGTACATGAGAAAATTCCTGCTGGGCCCTCTGTGTGACTGTCCCTGCACCCCCTAGAGGACGGGGCTGTCAGTGGACGAGGGGATACAGGTAGGGCTTCAGAAAGAAGTGCTGACTGACCAGTACAGGCTGCACTTAGTGACAGGCAGTAGGTAACTTGGCCAGATAATTTTTAAAAAAAATTTATCGAGCCCCTACCCTGTACAAAGAACACTTTGGCTTTGGAGGTTGTCGTATTCTAATTTTAGTACTTTGTTACTGTTCATTTATTTCTAAATTAAATATTAAAATAAATAATGAAACTCCTTAATCATTGGTGACTGTTCTCTGAATACAGATATAACTTCTTTTCCGCTCTCTGTGATGAAACTGGCAATAAGGTGATAATAGACAGGACATCATACTCAGAGTCTGCTCATAATTTTATTCTCCAGTTACCAAGTGAAGCAAACTGAGAGAGAAAGAAAATATGCAAAATCAATCTTAACTTCTTGAAAGTGAAAAAAAAATGTAATATTGCCTAAATTTATCTTTGAGTGTTCATTAGGCTTGTTTTTAGTTTGTGAAAAGGTCTGAAAACATTCAAGAGATCATGTCAGAATAGGTGATCCTAAATATGGGCTTATTTTAATAACTGTTGGTTAAATTTGCAAGTTACAAATTTTACTCCATTTATTTCCAAGAGGGTGAGGACATTTGATAATACTAACTCTACAGTAGAATTTCAAAATGTTTTAATTAGAAAATGAAAGTTTTTGAAAAGCTTATTAATGAGACAAGTTGGAGAAATCTTTTCATTCTAGGATCAAAAGAACAATGTTCAGAACTTTTCGTCGGGAATAAAACTCAGTCCAATAAGTAGTTCGAGTGAAAACAGTATTTTAAGGATAAAATGTGGGGCATGTATATTTTAAACGATTTTGGATATAAAGTGAATGCTCATGAAATCCAAGTAGATCATAAAATCATCTTGTATATGAATGCTAATGAAATCCAAGTAGGTTATAAAATGACCTTATATATGTTGAGCTGGTTGTTTTTTTCTTCCAAAGGTTTATTGCTATGAAATTTTCATATTTACTTTTTGTAGGCTCTATAACGTTCTCTACTGAGTCGTTTTCAGTAAGTGTTTATTCAGTGAACGAAGTCACTGATCATCCCGTATTTCAGAGAACAGGGATGCGAGGCAGAGAGGTTCTGTGTATTGCAAGTGTGTTTGTATCGTCTTTCCTCTTCTCCTTGTTCAGCTTGTCGATGGTCACTTTGACACTAAGATTGGACACAAAGTGGAGAGTGAGAGTTACCGAAAGATCGCAGACAGCATTGGGTGCGCAACCAGCAACATTTTGTTTCTGACAGACGTTACTCCAGGTGAGTAGTTGAACTTACGTGCTCCGGGACAGGAGCTGAGCCCGGTACTGCAAACACATTGCTTCTTTAAAGAAAGTTTGTGTGGGAATTCTTGAAAAATAAAAGTTTTATAAAAAGAAACAGTGACCCACCTCCCTCTCCATTTACCAGCCCTTGGGGGTTCTGTGTGGGGAAGTGACATTGGAAAGACTAATTCTCTTTTTATCTACTTAGCCGTGGTTTCCCACCCATCACGCTGTGTGCACACGTACATACTGATGACGTGGGAAAATAACAAAGGAAGATCAGGTGGGATCGTCGTAGGAAGGAGCGTGTGGGCAGGAGTATTAGGGCAGGCGATGGGTCGTTAGGGACAGTGGAGTCACGGTGGACCTGCCCCAGATGCGTTTAACAGCAGTGAGATACTCTGTGCACACCCGGCAAAAACAAAAAACAGAGAAAGAGAGCTGTAAATAGTTTAAGCACGTTTTGCCCATTATTCCGTTGGTGAGCTGCGAGTAGGGGCCTCATCCCTGCCTTCCCTTGGATGGTCTCTGCTCCCCATCTCAGGCTTGGTGGTATACGATTCACCTAGTTAAAGACATGCGTATTTTTTGCCCAGCATGGCCCTGTTTAGTATACACAGTACGTTAGCATATACATCATTAAACTTTAAGGGTTGAATGCCCAAAATAGTATATACATACTGTGCTTTATTGCCAATATAAATTACTTCAAGAGTAGTTTTGATCGAAAGGAAAACACATACCTGAGCATCTGTGTGAGCGTGAGCGCCCGCTGGAGAGTCGCAGAAGAGGGTAGTGAGTGAGGAAGCAAGAAGCAGGTGAGGCGCTGGAGGTGCTGGGGAAGGTGTTCAGTTCTTACCTGAAGCCAGCCCTGGTTTGTGAGGAGCTCCTGAACTCCCCCACCTGCTTCCAGCTTGTGATTATGGGACCGTTCTCAAAGTTTGTGTGTCGCCCAGTGAGCCTACCGTTGGTATGTTTTGTAATTTCACTTGTATTTGAGGGCATTTCTCTTTATTTGTGTTTGTTTTATTCTGCTGTGGATTTTAAGTTTCTCTGGGACTGTGGTCACTCCTTCTGTTTACCCCCAGAGCAGGGACTTGTGTGCTGTGCAGCTGCTCTCGCCGAGCTCCGTCCCTGAGGCAGGCTGGGAAGGGGATTAGGGGAAGGGGGCCGGGGGAGGAGTTGGCTTCCCGTGACCCCTGGGCCTCTCGGAGGCAGCTTCTGCAGTCTGTAGGTGAGACCCTCTCTCCAGCCCCTGCTGTGCGTCGCCACAGAGTAGGTCGCTTCCACTCACTGGGATTCTCAAAGGTGGGGCCAAAGGGACATCCAGGTTTCTGGTGAAGGTGTCTAACCTGAAGAGTGGTGTGTTTGAGCTGTATTCTTTCTCTTCTGCTGACCCTTAAGCTTTTGGTCATCGCGATAGGCAAGCAGGAGTTGTAAGTATATAAGTAGTTTTTTTTAATTAATTAACATAGATCATCTAACGCCTGAAGAACTTACAATAACATTTCCCAGAAAAACAGAGGTAGAGTAGGCTTAATTTTACCTGACATACAGTAGATATTCAGTAATTAATGATATCTTTGTTTAATTTCAGTCCTTGGTAAACTTAGACTAGCATGTTTAATCCAGGTAGACGTTACCAAGTCACAGCTACTTACTATCTTGAGGTTTGCAAATGCAGCATGTTCGATGGGGAGCAGCCCCTGTCCTGCATGTCCTGGCTCGAGTCAGCGTCAGAGTCCACGTGTCTCTACAAACTGTCAGCTCATTTTTTCTGCTTTCCGGAAGGCTTTACGTTCACATACGTGATTGCACTAGAGGAGAGAGACACACACAGGTACCGACATGCTGCCGGGTAGCCAGGCCATCGAAATGTGCTGTCACTGAGCTGTAGCCTTAACAACCGCCGTTTCGCCTGGTTTCTGCTTTGGTCTATGAACGTACTGCAGATGTTTGCTTATCGTGTTTCTGTGTGGAAACCTTTTACTGAGTTGAAGCTACAGTACACCCTTGAGTGACTTTGGGGGCTCAGCGGTAGGGCGGGGAGGTTGCTTTACTGCCCGTATGCGGTAGGGACGTGCCATCAGTCTCTGTGAAGAATGATAATTTGAAGAGCTTTTACTGTGTTTTGCTCGTTATGGAAAGGAAACAGGACTTGTCCTGGTGAGTTGAGATGTTTCATCTGTGAATTGCTTTTCTTTAATCATTCATGTAAAGGAGGCTTTTGGGGATGAAAATGTGTAGTTTGCCTTATATTAATTTCCCTAGCACTTTTCATGGTAAGTTTCTGCAGGCTTAGAATTAAGGATCTGCTTTGTGCCTGGCGCTCCCCTCAAAGTCGGCCAATTCTGGAATTGAATGCTGGCTCAACCCGTGAGCCCCAGACCCTTGCTCTGTCCCCAGCCTTTTGACTGTGTTGATAATTACAACCCCTGCCCTAAGACCACTTACAGTTTCTTCATATTCTTTTCTTCAGCCACTTATTTTTTGCATTTGGCATCATAGTACATGTATACTTTCAGGACTTTTTCTTTTCACTTAAGCCATTTCCTTAGGTTGCAGTACCAGAAATTATTCCTGACTTTGGAGAATAGAAATAATCCCCAAGTTGGCCTCAAAATGAAATTGGCTCCCATTGAGTTCTCCAGAAGGAGGTTTTATTCCTGTCCCTTACCTCTGCCATCCCCACACTTGATGAGGCAATAGGGCTGGAGCTTGGGTCATGTGTAGCTGGGGTGAGGCACCCCCACTACCCAGCCTGCCTGCCTTGCGCTTTCCTGTCATCTCGGGTCCTGTGTTTCAGTACCGTGTGCCCAGACTTCCACTGCCGAGGCCGAACGGAAGACTAAACGGATGTCTCAAATGATGCCCAAGTATGAAAGAGAACTGGGAGACCCTTTCCCCTTGGAGGAAAGGAGAAGGATCCTGGGTTTTGAGTCAACGAGTTTTAATTAAGTGCCTCATTGTTACCCCAACAGACCAATCAGATGCTTAAGGACAAAGCTTGCTCCATGGCTGTGTGGGGCAGAAGCCCGAACATGGAACAGCCACTAGCTGGTGCCAGGTCCCCCGCGGATTGTGATGGCTCAGCTTGGCCAAGATCTTGGGCTGCCAGTCAAGATGAAAACTGTGCTTAAGTCACTTTCTGACACACACTGTGGTTTTCGCAGAGGCCAGCGCTGCGGAGGCGGCGGACGTGCGCGTGGCCGTGGTGCTGAGACCCGGCAACGCGGGGCTGACGGACGACGAGAAGACGCACTACAGCCTCATCACGTCCTTCAGCGACCTGTGCCTGCCCTCCTCGCCCTAGGGCGGCGCCCCGACTCAGAGCTGTCCCCTGGCGCCTAGTTCTGTTCTAGTGGTACAAGTAACTCACTTAAGAAATGCACCTGTGTACACATGTGCATGCAAGTCTAGATGTGTGTGTGCTCACATTAACCTCCACACGAGTGAGGAGAAGTCTCAGTTCACTGAAAACAACTTACGTAAAGATGCTTTATATGTAGACACTGTTTGAAACAGTACTCTAACCCGTACTGAGGGCGACGTGTAGTTGCTAGAAGAAATTGCTAAAATACAGATCTAATGTGTTACGTTTATCAAGTCATGTACCAAAAAGGAAAGCTAGTTTTGAGAAATTATTCAGAAGCCTTGTTTTAAAAACTGAAATTGTCTCAAAGACTTATTTCTGATAGTAATTAGAAATAGGTCTGATATAGCCCCTGTTTAATTGTAAGTTAGAAACGACAGTAGCTCCTTTTCATATTTGTCTCCCTGTATATACAAGGCAAAAGGTATTTGTTCCTGCTTCAAAAGAGAGCAAAATCGGGAAAGAGTGCTCACTAGAGTCTTGATCAGTCAAGTGTCTGGTACTTAAGAAGAAACTTGCTGACGATTGCGGCACCCACAGCAAGCAGTCGCCTTACCAGGGACAGAGGTGCACCCATTAACTGGCTGAAATAGAGATGTGGTTCTTAGTGTTTAACAAAACAGTCCTAATTCTGCTGGTTATCATTATAGATGTTATAGTTGCCTTTCTAACTACTACTTAGCACAGTTCGAGAATATATGTTAATTGCCATTTACTATTAATAAAAAAAGATTTTACTGAAGTCAGTTCATAAGATCAAGAAGAGCCCTAATATGTAATATTTTCCTCTGAAATGGATGTGAGAAATGTAAATTTTATAACAGCATTATTCTGATCAAGTTGTAATACAGTGTCATGCCAATTTCATGTTGTGATTAATAAAAGCATTTTCTTCTTCACCCAGTTTTATATAGGTTCCAGAACTGTGCCACATACTGCCATAGCAAAAGAGGAACTGAGGCTGAGGAGAGACTGAAAAAAATAAGAATATTGTTTTAGTTTTTGCCGTAATCATGTGTGTAGCGAATGTGTGTTTTAATGGCGTGCCAGCGGGAATTGAGTTGCGTGTCTGTGTAAGGCGACTATTTCATCTGGATAGTGAGCGTTCAGGATATGAGTGGGGTTTCTTAGATATTTGAGAATCCTAATATTTGAGGTATATAAGGTAATGTTTGAAGGAGACAGTTATTCTCTTAATCAAGAAAAACTAATGAATCCTGGAGGCATAATTTTAGGAATGCTTCGAATAAGGAAAAGGAAGTCTTGCAAATATGAGAGGACAAGGGGTGTATTTTTTGTTGATGATTTTGATCTTCTAGTAGCTAATGAAGAAATTAATGACTATGAAATATGTAAGTAAAAAAAAGGAAGTGAATGTACGTAAATCTTAGAAATGGGAGTAATTTCTAAATGATAGCAAAACCACAAATGGTAATACAAAGACGAACTTCATACATTTTTTGGAAAAGCTCATGGGCAGATGACAGAAAAGGATGTCTCTTAATGATAGTAAAGAAGCAATTGGAGAAGTAAGGAAGAAATGAGAGAAAATTGTGTACTAGGATCTAAAATTAGAAAGGAATTTAAGGAAAAGAAAGCACTTGGTGTGTAGCCCACAGAGAATTGAGGTGGAGGGGCATTTACTGTCCACGGTGAAAAGGGTGTCAGGAAAACTGTAGTTCACACTGAAGAATGAGGACAGAAAATAGATAGATTCAGGAGTTGAGAGGAAGTTGAAATAGCAGATCCAGTCTGTGGAAGTGCGGTACGAAAGGAAGGGAAGAACATGGTGAGTGGAATATTTCTTAGATCCTGATACGGATTCATTCACAATTAAATATGATGGAGAAGGGTCTCCGGAAGAACTTGAAAGATAAAGTAGATTGGTTATGAGGGAGGGAAAATGCCCCGGAAAGTGGGTAGGGATACACAGTGTAGACATGTACTGGAACATCACGTCGCACCCCATAAATCCATAGTTACGTGTCACTCAAATTTAAGAAAAGGAAGTGGGTAGTGAGGTAGGAGGTGAATGAATCCAGATGGAAGAGGAGGCGGAAAAAAACCTCTGGAACTTCCAAAAAGAGAAAAAAGGCACTCAGTTTTGTCAGGCTCTTGCTTGCAGAGAATATGGGGGAAGAAGGCCTCTTAAAGTTGTGGTTCTTTTTTTTTATTCCTGGTTATTAATTCAAATCTTCTACCTCAGTTCTCTTTCCCACAGATGGCACTGATTTCCAATTTTGCATCAAAACACAAGCTGGTTTTTTAGAAGAGAAGCCTCAGACAAAAAGGGTTCTCAAATTTTATCAGCGTTCCTGGAGTAGCAGGGATTCCCGTTTGGCGATACGGAGGGCCGGCCTTAGTGGCTGAGCCTAACTGGTGTGGGCTTCAGAGTTGCACCGGGAAACGCTGAAGGCCACTGGCCTGTTGCCAGGACGATGCCCAGCAGCCTTTGCCCAGCAGATGGTGCTGTTTCTCCAGACTTGACAAAGCGCGAGGCCGCCCGATGCAGCAGGTGGAGCTAAGAGGCAGCATTAAGAGAGGAAAGGCTGACACCACGGCACTCTACTCCAGGCAACAGAATTGTGAATTGCGTTCTAAGCGTGGTGGGGAGCCACTGGGCAACTTGGAGCAGATGATGACATGAGCAATTTATGTATTTAAGGAGTTCTTGGGTGGAGAGTGGACCGTAGGCCAGCAAGACTGGGCAGCAAGATGAGTTAGGTCTGTCAGGGTTGAGTGTTGCAGGCGGAAATCAGGAGGAGTAGGAGGTTCGCAGATGAGTGGAAGAACTGGAGGAAGAGCACTCGGGAACTACCAGTGGACTGTGGAGTTGGGCGATACCCCGCAGGGGTTAGGTTAGTTCAGGAAGCTGCCGCCATGGATTGCCGCTGCTACCCACGCCCACGACGCTGGCCAGATACGAAATACCAGGCCCAGGTGCGACTTCTCCGGATGCTCGCATGTCTGTGACCTTGTTTACCAATAGCAGTAGCAGTGGGAAGATTGCCTCCGTCTTGCTTCTCTTGACAGACTTTGTGCTAGTGCATTTTTTTTTTTTTGAGGCAGAGTCTTACTCTGTTGCCC